ATCCAGTTCAGGTGTTATCTCGTCCCATCAAACGTGTTTTGGCGGATTGGCGTCGGCCATGATGATTATTGCCGACGATGGAACGACTCCTCTTACAAAATGTTCACCTGTGCCGTAATATCGTTTTTGAAGCAGGAAGCTCAAAAAACCGCAAATTTCTTACGCAGACTGTGAAGTTATGAGTGCATTACAGACTTTGCCGATGCGCTCATCGTGATTTTTGAGGCATTATCTATAAGAAACAACTCTTATTTTTGCTCTAGCAAAAGTTTGCAACAGGCCCATTATTTATTAGTTTTGAAGTTAAGTGAATAAGTTTTTTTCTTTGAAGATAAAACGCATTTGGAGATTTTCATAAATTGCAATTGAGATACACACTACTCTCATTGAGTTATCAGCACAATGCTCCATCACTCTCTAATTTAAAGATATACTGATTGTGTAACCAACAACACAGCATGGGTTCTCCAATTCAAAATTCATTGATTTAGTAATGCATTTGATGAAAAGACAAAGAGATGGATTAATCATCTAAATAAATCAGGCAGCCACACTTCATAACGCAAATATTTAATAAAGCAACAGTTGGTAGCATCAATCTGAATTTGCATGGTAATGATGACGCTATTCTGAATACCTGCCTTTCTAAAAAATGCCTTTTCTTTGAAGTTTTGCATATTCAAGCCTTTGCTATGCTGCTGCGAGAGGCATTTCAGCCCCTACAATTATACCACAACTGTGTTGTCATTCGACTGGAACAATTTGAGCATTGTACCCTTGTTTTAATGATTTAAATTCAAATGAAAAACTCGAGGAAGGCTTACCAGTTACTTCTTTCAACGCAACTGACTGAACATACAAGAAGTACAATGGATGAGGGAGAACAGAAGCAAGAGGGTGTTCATTTAGAGAATGTCCTGCAGTTAAGCCAAGGTTGTCTAAAACAGGCTTGGCAGTCTGAAAAAAAAAAAATACAGTTATACTTTCGATGATTGACCCAAAAAGGAGACATTGGTTGAGAGTCTTCATATTTTTTTCTACTTAAAATGGGCCCCAGAGCTAATCTTCCACATAAACCTCATTCCTCTAAAAATCCAAACTCAACTGCAAGCCTCAGGCAACAAATAAAAGTGCGAGCAATGAATATGTGCTTGAGGGCTGTTCATTGATTCCTGGTTTCACGTCTGGTACAAGTGTAGGAGAAACAGCTTTGTTTGCTGAGAACCATAGTTCATGAGGAAATAATTCAAGATTTTTACCCCTCTTTCCTAGGATTCAGTTCTGGAGCTGGTATGTTTACAGCACAAGTTATATGAGGCACAAAAAATTGACTCTGAGAAAATCGGAAAATTAAAAAATTAGAGCATATACAAAAGAAAACAGTAAAAAAAACTAAATTCACTCACAGCTAACACAGTTTTTAGGAGAGGAGCCAGGTTTTCCAGCTGAGATCGTTTTCTTTTGATTTCTGTAGTGACTCTTTCTTTCTCTTCTTGAAGCTCTTTGCACTTAGTGGCTAGCTGCTGTCGCTGAAGAAGTTCCCATTGTAATCGAGCCAGTCGCAATTTGTGTGGATCTTGGGATGTGATGTCCTTTCAAAAAATGAGAGCAGAACAAATGAAACATTCGCAAGAGGTAAAGAGCAGAAATTAAAATTTGCTTTGAATGAAGTGATTAAGGAAACATGAGAAACACATAAAACTCAATTTACAAACTGGGGCTTAGCTAAATGACCTTGCATCAGGAGCAAGAGGACTACTTACTCGAAAAGTAAAACTGTTAACAATAACAGATTATCAACACCAAGATAGACCATTATCATTTAATTAAAAAAAATAAGTCAGATATTTTGAGAACATAGCTACTGCTAAAGGGATTCCTTACTTCCTCAAGAGGGAAAAGGACACAATCAGCATCAGGATTAAATTAACTTTAGGAAAGATAGATTACAATTTTCATTTTTTTCTTTAAAGTTCATGTCATTTTGAACTGGCAGCATTATTAATTAAGCAATCAAAAAACTCACAAGCTCTGTTAAAAGCGAAAAGTTCCATGATTGCCTATGAAGTCAGATAATTTCTTCCCGACAAGCTTTTTTTCATCCTGCCTCTAAATATCTTCCCAAATTATTAAGGTTTAATTCGTCCAAAGAACCTTAAATGTTTTACCATTTTAATGTGAGCTTGAATCTAAAGTATGAACTAGTTTACGTATGTGCTATTCTATCAGATGACAATAATCCATGCAACTGAATTTACCTCCTCTTTGACGCTGTTGGGTGCTTCTGCATAAAACTGTTCAACTGGAATCAGCTCAATGTCTTCATCCTTGGATCTAAAAAAAAGTTTTGAAAATGTATGAGATACATGGTAGGGTGCAAATATTGAAAATGAATACATTAAGTATTATCAAAATAAGAGAATCCTCTTTGGCCTTTAATATGTATCTCCTTTCCTACCCTTCAAAATTTTGAAAAGCATACCAGATTCAATAGGTAAAACCAATTTAAATTAATATTCAAAAGCTAAATTCATAGTTGTATAACTGTCTAAACCTGTGATATTGACGCTTTATTGTTCATAAAATTGAAGTTTCTTGGCCTCGTCTTTGTGGGACGTACTGGCCTCCAGGCCAAGTTCCAAGCCTTCCTCCAATTTCAATTCAACTTCCCCCGTTTTTCAGTGATCACTTTCCCTGAAGACTAATAATAAAAAAAAGAACCTTCTGTCCAAAAGATTGGATTTACTGCTAAAACACTGTGATGAGCATGGGGCTTGCCACTTTATTCCCTTTTTATAGGGGTTCATTTTTTTCCCGTTTTTGCAGGGGTTTCCCATTTCATGAGACCAGCACACAACGTTGCATGATTGAGAAATTTCTACACCTCTGTGTCATGATAGTCTCATAACTATTCAACTACTTACAGTAACTAATTCAGAGAGATAGAAAAATAATATTCAGTAAGTATGGTTAGCTTAATAATAATATTATGGCAACTATGAAAAACAATAGGTATCTTACTTGAACTGAAGACATTTGGTTACTTCTTTCTTCAAATACATCAACTCATATAGTAAATTTTGCAGCTGCAATTCGTAACTGTCGACGAGCTGCTTCTTCTGATGCAATTCTTCCCGAAGATTTTTTGTCCGAATTTTCTCAAGTCTGTTTAGTTTTTTCAAGCTAACAGAAAGGAGTGCTGCGCTTATTTTTTTCTCTTCGATGAGGGCTTTAGAATCCGTAGAATCCTCCTTAGAGAAAAAGAGGGAAAGGTTAAAAAAAGTAAATAACAAGAACTTTATAGTTTCATTTGATTGGGCTAGTTTTGTCTCAAGGGTGGAACATTTCATGTCAGTGATTCAGAAAGAAGGAACTTGCATTCGTGCTTAAATGCCTAGATACAAAAATACTACACAGTATATGCATCACTTTTTTCTCTGTTTGCTCTTCATGAGCAAATATAAATATTTACAATTTGATGTTAAATATTTTGTAAATTTTTCTTGAGACCTCAATTTAAAAAAATAAGAAAGGAAAAAATGCTGCCTAGTTATACTGTAATTTTTGTTTCATTATTGTCATCTCTTACTTGCTGCTAAACAAGCAGGCTGGAGGATAGCACGAGGAGCTAAATTTTCATCGCAAGACTTCAACATATAGCAGTAACAAGTGTAAAAAAGTAGAATTTCATCGATAAATCTAAATCTGAAGATGCTGAATATTTGAGTGCTTAAGCAAACCAGATTCATTGTCATATGATGCCAATGGATCTCAAGCAAGCACAGAAAAGAACTTGCTTAGGATGCGGGTACTTTTTCAACAATGTGATAAAAATTACACAATCAATCAATGAAAAATCTCTCTACTCTACTTACAAGACCCAATTTTTGAAAATAGGTGAACAGAGTAAGCAAAAAGAACAAACAAACAAACAAACAAAAACCAAAAAGTGAAAAATTCTTTCTTACAGCTGATTGCGATGGCTCACATTTTAGAGCAAATATTTCATTCATCAAATCACGGAATTTTTGACAGGAGTCCAGGCAGAGAACCAAATCCTTGTCTGGATCTCTTTCGAGGGCTTCCCTCTCTTCAAACTGAACTGCTTGCTACAAAAATGATAATGAAATAAAAGACAGATTACTGTAAATTGGAGATGTTCATATTAGACAGAGATTAGAGGTAAGTACTCTTTTAAGTTAATAATATTTGTATGGAAGGTATTCGATACTGTTGAGATAAAGTGCTTCTAAATGTGTTAGAGGAATGTGTCAGTGGTTTATATTTACTAGGGAGCTACGCCCCCTGGCAGCTACGCGGACCAGCCCCCTGAAGACGCTCCGCACCAACACTGTTGTTTTTATTTTTCCCCTAAAAAATTACGATATACTTTACTTTTAGAATGAAATGATTTTTGTTTTTAATGAATAAAGAAAAAGAAATGTGAAGTCAAAAGGACGTGTTTTGCAATGACTTGATTATAAAAAACATGGGTCCTATTTCCAAAATCTGATTAGAGCCGGCTCATTCAAAATTCAAAATTCGGAACTTTTGCTAATACTTATGAATTTCCACAAGAAACAAGCTGACTGCTGGAAATTTTCATAAATTATTCTGCTGGTGGATACGAAAATTAAATTGAATGGTTCCACAAATGAAACATGAAGTGTGATGGGAAATTAGCAGTGATTTTGCAATACAAACTGCGCTTCCAGGTTTTAGGTGTTTGGCCATGGGATAGTAAAAACCTAGAAATATTAGAAACTGAAAAACACATAGGTAAGTTGGTATTTGTATAATTACTCAGTTAGGACGACATGAGAGCTTACCTGGTATACATCTGACTTTATATGGACAACCTCTACTTTAATATCTGAGGTACCATTGTTTTGTTTTGTAGCAATGGAATCTTTCACCATGATGGAAAAATAATCGCTGTATAATTTGATGAGGTGAAAAGCAAGTGAACGCTTTAAAATGAGAGACGGTGATTTTGATGCGCAAGAGAACAAGACTTCATAGTTGGCGGCTTACACGCAGCAAAGCGTGATTTCAAAACTGCTATAAACAAAAATGAGTCGGCGCGTTTAATCTATTGATATTTTTTTAACACTAAACAAACATAATATGACTAGAAAAGCGCAGAATATACCGGTTTAAATTCAAACATAAGCCAAAACATGGAACGCAAGGAACTCTAACCTCCAAACTTGATTGATAGAGGATAGACAGACTAGACATACAATACATCAACGTAGGAACGGGATGCACTTATGCAGTCGAAAGTCGAAAACGGAAGTATCACGAGGTTTCTAATAAAAATAATGGAATAAAAAAGAAATTAACAAGAAAAAACTCAAAAAGAAACTCTTAAGCACTAATATAGACCTTTCGGACTCAAATATTTCAACTTTTTATCAAGAAAAAAAATAAATAAATAAATAAATAAAATTTGAAGATTTTCTTAGTTTTGTATTGGAGTACCTAGTTCTGGGTTTGCCGCGTTTCTGTCAACCAATCGAAGCTCAGTCCGCGGTATTGTCGTTGTACATCGCTAAAATCATTAGGGCACCATTTTCATTTTCCGAAGTTCTCTCTTTCTGATTTTATCCCGTAGATAAGCACTTGTAAACAAAAACTTTCAACTTGCAATACTTGCATTACTTTTGCTGACTTCTGCGTCAAGGTTTTAGTTATTTATTGTTAAATAACCTGCAAATTCTTCGTTTGAATCTGCTCTCCGTAGATAATTTCCACCGTTCTTGTAAGTAAAAATATTTTATTCCTTTGGTCAATCATTTATGGAAGGTAGACCTACTTTGCCACCTCACTTGGCCATGTGGGAAGTTGGCTGAGGAATTAGCATGAAGTTACTCTCCTCTATTTATGGCAATTCATCCTTGCTTTGGTGTCGGTCAAATGGTGGGCAATAATCGCTTTGATTTAATCAAAAATTCTGGCAGATTTTGACCATTAGAGCGGAAATGACAACAGCCCCTACGAATGAATCTAGGGGCCCAGCACACAACGTAGGTGCTTGCATCACCTTTCAAATGTCAAAGAACATTACAATCTCTCAGCATTTCGAGTCATCGACTAGTTGCGCATCAGCATGAAGTGGATCAGTCCTGTCTCCCACAGCATGAAGAGGGAATGTGTCCACTGTGAAGGTGGAACAACGGAGGGTTTTGTTCCACTCGAGACCTTTACTCTAACCTCTGTCATGTCACTAACAAGAGATCATACTCCACTAAAACTCTATGAACATAAATTCCATTCTCACAGTATCTATTCTCTCATCAAAAACTTGCACATCGGGAGAGTGGAAATCTCCATGGAGTTATATTAAGATTTTAATTCTGGCCACGTTTGACTATTCTATGCTATTCTGTGGGTATACTTGCGCTGTGTTTTAGGTAAAAAAACTAGTCTAAGAAATTATTTTCGACCCAAAAATTTGCTATACTTGGAGAGGTTTAAATAGGATTTTGCTACAAAAGCCATTTGGTGCATTTTTAAGTTGCTATAATTTCCTTTTTCTGTCTGTTAACAGCTTTCTCATATCTTGGTTGTTTCGCCCATCAATAAAATGCCACAAGGTTCCAAAATGAAAGTCAAAGCCTCTTTACCTCCTCGAGTGAAAGGAAAAGTAGAGAAACAAAGAGATAAAGCACTTCTTGGGAAGAAACGTAAGTTTCATTTTGTTACTATCTGAAACTAGTACTTTTCTTGTCGCCAACTTCTCCCAGGATACTGAAGTGACATGAACATTCTTACATTAACTACATTGGGACCTCAGATTTTGCAGAATTTATTTTTCCATCAAGGCAATCAGTGCCTGTACAATGTTCTAGTAACAAGGGGGCTTCTGCAATGTTATGAAGCGAACGAGGTAATAGGTAAAGGAAAATAATGAAGGTGCCAGAACGTAGCCTATGAGACTATATACTCATTGCTGCTGGCATCATTCCCTACGGGTGATGAGAGGGTGGGACACACCAGAGACACCAGCTGTTGTAGGATGTGATAGCATCCTGTGTATTCACCGATGCCTCTGACAGCCTCGGACACTAAATGACAGTGCTGCCTCAGATGGTGGCTTGTAATAGTAGCCAAACTATCAACTGCCCAGTTGCAAGCCAATGTTGCAGCAATTTTGTCACAGCAACTAAGTAATAATACAACATGCTGTGTCTCGAATCACGGCAAGTTTTGATCTAGCTTTAACAAAAAAAACAACTATATGTTCACATCAAAGTTCATCAGTATTGCCAGAAATATCAAGAAATATCTTTACAAAATTTGCTGACCAACATTGCTGGAAAATATAACCAACAACAATGCCACAAAAAGATTCCTGCAATGTAACTTCAAGATGTTACCTAATTAGTTTCATAAGTCATGTTGCTGTGATGATAAAACAGTATCATAACCGTCTCTTTGCAGGGTTGATAGAGCATTAAAATTTGTCATTCCCAGAACTTAAACCAGAAAAAGTATTTATTCGATTTGATTATTATTTTCTATGCATATCTCTTATTGAAGTTACAGAATATGGATTCAATGTACATAAATAAAAAATTGTCCATAAGACCTCCTGACTCTTATTAATACCTTTTCAATGCCGGTTGAATAAGAATCTAGAAAGTGTGCATTCACTTGAATTTTAGTCGGAAGCTAATCTTACAGTCTTAAGTATTCACGGAAAAATGTTCCGAGAAAGAAGAGCACTTTAATTTGCACTTACTTAAATCAGGTTTTAAGGCCTACACATGATTTTTATACTAATCTAAAGTTATGACATGCAATTAAATGAATTGTTTGTTTTCTTTTTTCTAGATGCACCAATGAAATCGAAAAAAAAGTTCCATGATAAGAAAAAGAAGAAGAGTGTCAATGCCAACAACTTCAATGAAATGATCGAAGAAGAATTAAGAGCAAGGGTTACAAAAACTTCTAAACCCTACTTACCCAAAAACAAAAAAGGGTCAGTTATTGTTTCCAAGCCTAAAATTTCCTTTAAGAATAAAAAGAAATGATTTCAGAGGTTTCACTCTTTTAATGAACTGTTAAAAAGCAATTTTTTCTAATTTTTTTTTCTTTCCTGTGGTTGATATGTTTTGATTAGGAACATTCTGAAACTATCACTTCAGAATTTTTTCATTCATCTAAAAAAAATTTAGGTGAAGTACCAGATACCCAGGTATGATAATTGATTTTCCTGAAAATCTATAATGACTGAACCACCTTCATTCCTCCAACATTCAGTCGATGAAACTATGGATATTTCTATAAAGCCTCGCCAATGCTGAGCATGCTTGTATGCTATTGTTTTAAAAAAAATTGTTAAATTAATTGATTATTTAACAGAATAAAAAGGAAAACAAAAACTACTTTGGTTTTAGTATTTTTATTTATCTTGTCAAAGCTGCATGTATCAAGGTTGGCAAAAGAGAGAATCATCTAGCTTCAAACTGTCAGAGTTTTACATTTGATTTTAGATGTTGTTTTTAGTGGTTATCTATATCATAGTTTGACTCAAATTTTTCATCAATTTAGTCCGCCAAATTGCTGTTATTCCTATAGAGGGTTGACTAATTAGGAGTAATGACTAGAGTAAGTGAGATTATAATTTTTCCAACGAGAAATTTTACTGAAAAAGTATGTATTGAATTAACACCATTATCCTTGTCCCAAACTGTCCGAGAGTTGAACTTACATCAAATGTGACTAAACTGAGGAAAAGAAATGCTTACTCGATGAAAACTTACTGTTTAGACATTGATACGTAAATAAAGGATTGTTCTCTGACTATTTTGAAACAGAAAACACCCAAAAAGTCTAATCAAATTGGAGGTGTGCATAGGTAAATTACATTGGCAAGTTCCAAAATAATTATTTGACAAAAATGCTATCGAAAATTCTAATCTGTCATGTTAATAGTACTAAAGTGCGGGATAATGCATTTTCTTGTCTTTTACTGGATTGAAAATCCATTGAACTGTTTGCAACCTGTCAAGTCTGAACAAAGCTGGATATAGTTTCCTGTCAGTAACTCAAAATACTTACAATTTTTCTATCCACTCGAGGGAAATGATTTTACTAAAAAATTTTCCCTCTTGGATTGATGAGGTTCTCTTCCTGAGGACAGCTCAAAATCTTAAAATATGTATAAAAGTACATAATCACATCTGTTATGAGAGTGGAGTTCTTTCTCTAGGAATGTTGCTCTTCACAGAGAGGAAACTTGAATGGCACGCAGGTAACTACAATTTTTTGAAAAAATAATATTAATAAGAAAATTATATTCATGAAGTAGAAGTAGATCAGGGTGCCTCTTCACTTATATCAGCTTAAAATGTACATTGCACCGTTTACCAATAAGTAAATGGTCAGTAACATAAAGCTCCCATATACCTACCTGATGCTGTTTTCCAATGAACTGTTTATTTTTTTCTTTTTTATTTTCTTCTGAAAGAGAAGTGAAGGGGTAGAAAAAAAATGTGGAAGTAAGAACAATAAAAAAATAAAAGTAAAAACAATAAGACTTCTTCATTACTTGAATAAAATTATGAAAATAATTCATGTATGGAGCAAGTTTAGGAGTGGATGATACCTTAGATNGGGGGGGGGGGGGGGGGGTAGTTGGAATTGAGATGAAGGAACCAGGGATTCTCCCCCAATTGGGCGGGAGGAAAGGGTAGTTCTCTGCTGAAATTTTCTTTGAATATTATTTTCCGCTAGAACCTGTTTTCGTGGTGAACTATCACCTTTTCTTGTTTTATTCATGGGGTTCCAGACGGAGAAAATCTCGTTATCATCCTTGGATTTGCCCCTAAAAAAAGGGAGAAATTGCATGCGGATTCAATTTTTCCCGGAAAAGGAAAACAAAATAATAACTTGGAAACTTTGGGTGGAGGGGGGGGGGGGCGCTTACACTTGCTTCATACACGCGCCACTGCTGCAGTTGAGTAATTGAATAAAGCTGCAAGTATGGACAGCACTATCGCATAGGATAGTAACTTAGTCATTATTATCATGTATTATGTAGTTATCGTTTTGGAGTCCTATTTTCAATAACATTTCCGCATTTCGACTCCTCTCTGATTTAACCAACGATGCACACATTTAAAAAGAGCGCTTCACAACTGACGTAGACAAATGCCAAGTATATTCGGGTAAAGTAGTGACGCTTACAATGGCGGACAGTACAGGCGGCTCACCGAATCGCCCTACTCCTGCTGCTTTCCTTTTCAATCAAGGTGTTCCCCCTCCCCGACCCCTAAACCAGTTCGCTTGTGTGGTGTGGCTTGTGTGTGTTGCTTCCGTGCCATGGTGGCTGATATCTCGCTTTGGTTTTGTAATTTCTTTGGTTGTCTACGACCGTGCCTTCATTAAATTCCTCACCATCCAAAGTTTTCTGTTTACCGCAATTTATTAATTCTTGAGGTCACAGTTTGGGTCAAGTTTGCCCGTTACTCCTCCCATTGAATTGGGTTTGTTTGTAGCCCAATTTTCTTTCGACCCACGCACTGAGTTGAAAGTCGTTTTCGTGATAATTTTTCGCTAACGCCGACCTCGGACTCTTCAGAGTTTCATGACTATTATTACCCTAAGGTTTGCTTTCTATTATTATTTTCCATCCAAGCCTTCGGATAGAAATTTGGTTCCAGTTCCAGTGAATTCGAAGCAAGTGCAATCTCGCTCGAGACATAACCCCAATTTTCCATTCATTCAGCGAGGAATGCGTGCAATGTTCCTCCAAGTTGTGCTCTCAATTATCACAAATCCTCTTTCTATTGCATTAAAGTGATTATCTCCGTATTATTTTACTCGTGATGTGCAAATTATATCGTCATTAATGTAGTGCAAAACTATTACCGTTTTATTGAGTTCGATTCACTGATATAAATTGTGATAGTGTGGGACCATGGCTGGAATTTTTGATATTGAGTTACATGATCCTGATAGCCCTGGCCGAGATGAATCAGATGATAGCATCGATATAGACCCTGTAAGTTTTTATCTCCAGTATTTATCTATTTATCAACTTTATTTCTGTATATTTGATCTATTTTGCTTGTCACCTACGTGTGGTTTTTTACAACCGGAGGGGCGAATCACTTTACACCAAAGTAATTTCATTCAGGCCGAAATCCCAACATAATAAACTCGATTACGTCTCCCTGATTTCATCCACTTCCATCATCAATGCAATCTCCCAAAGTTTTAGTTTGCATCTATCAAAATTATCGAGGTTTGAATTTATAGCCTAAGTGCACCGTTTTGACTTTCTTCGTAAGACGATAATTTCTCTTCAGAACGCTCGTGAAATTAGTGGAATAGAACCCACTTATCTAACCTCGCTCTGAGGTTAAAGCGTGGCAGTCTTCCGGTGCATTTTCTTGTGATTTGCACAGTGCTTTAATTGGTTCAAACGTCCAATCTTTCTGTAGCGACTTGTGCTGACCGTGCACCATTAATATCTTACATCTTTAATCAATTCAGAAGGGTAGAAGGATCACTTCTAACTGGCAGGAACTAAAAATATCAAGTTTTTAGGTATAAGTAGCATGCTGTAAATGTTGACCACCATGGGCTCTGCCCTACCCCCTCACCTTTTTTCTTTGCAGTAGTTACCTAAAAGTTTTCTCTCTAAGACACTACCTGCAGGGCCGAATGGAATGTCTGATCGTATAAGGCATATCTTGAGCCGTAGAACAATTTTCCTAAGTGATGATTTTTTTTCCTCATGAAGTATTTACTTCACTTAAGTATGTTGTTCAAATCACATATGTCGTGATGAAATCAAACATTTTCTGTTAGGCTAACAGCAAACTTAGACTGGCTAAACAATTCTAGAAAGAACTCTTCTGCATCGCAGCTATCAATGCCTTTTACCCAGATTTTTAGATTATGAATAGAACAGGTCAGGATACCATCATCACAAGGGCGTTTGAGTTCTCACAAATCTTCCATGTGAAAATTAGCACCTAATTATGTCAAATAGCTACTAACTTGGTTTCTAATTACAGTTTTCTATCATTCGTTTTTAAATTAACGTTTAATTCCCAGCGAGAAATTAAGAAATGGAAACTAAGTAGGCTGTCAGACTTACGGTATTTTGTAACCCATATTGTCATCATGTTGAGTAAAATTACAAACAGACATCGGACAAAGAAGATCAGCAATCGCAGCCTCCAGCCGCCCTCCTAACAGTTTTGAGGCTGATGGTTCCATTTTTACTGAAATGAACCTTGGTTGAAGATGATAGGTCAAGCTCACTCAAACTTAAAAAATCACCACGGAATTCCGAAACTAATCCAAGGGAAAAAAACATTTTGCATCATTGCTATCCTTTATTTGATATTTGCCACGATTTTCCTTCAAAGAGACCATCTCCAATATTACATTGGCTCCCTTGTGGATAAAATTGTATGTGCACTTATACATGTCAAATTTATCCTCATTAAATAAGTAGATTAATAATTAAGTAAGTATGTCACAAAGGAACCATCATGAATCTTTACTTCAAAAAGTATAGAGTTAAAAGGTAATTGTGACATAATAATTCTGAACATCCAAAAATTATCCTTTTTACTGTTTCATTTCTATAAATATGGAGTCAAATCTTTTATTATTTTTTTAAAGTTGAAGTTTCGCTTTTATGTTTCGCTTCAATACTTCCACAAATGCCAAGAAAGCTTGAAGGTAACCCCTATGCAATGCAGAATAGTTCCTATATTATCTCAGTAAATAATTAAACCATTGTGTTTGTGTAGCTATATTAAGCTCATCATGCAAGTGCACCCAAATCAGAATAAAAATACAATACAGGTGAATAGTAATGCTGAAACATTATTTCATAATATTGAAGGGAAATTGCATGGAATTAGACATTTTTATTGAATAGGTAATAGAATTTTGAATACACTCAGATCAATGTTTTCCCCCTTTAAATATTTCTTTGGAAGGTAGAACCTAGGTACTCACTCTTCGTCCCATACTTATGCTGCCGTGCTAAGGAAGAACGCCGTATGAAAATGCAAGAGTTGCCAAATTTACTTCCATAAAATGTTTAATTTTGAGGAAAGTTCCGAATATTTTTCCTTTAAATTTTAGGAATCCTTAGGTCAAATTGCGAACTAAATCATCTGAAAAACTGGGAGGAAAATATTCATAAATTTACTAGGAAATTCGCGTTTCATCAAAGGAAATTTGACAACGCCTGTAGGCTCATACGGCGTTTTTCCTTAGCACGGCAGTATTGGGAGAGAGTCTAGAGCCCCAATGCAATATGTGGAAGAGAGCTCATGGAATGATTCTTGAAGTTTCTCTCATCAAACCTGATACTTGAATTAAGTCTCTTTTATCTGCTGAAGTAGGAGGGAATCGTCAGATAGGTTGAGGCGGTATCGGACAAGTTGGGTGTAATTTTTTCCGTATCGTTGGCTGAAAGTTTCACGGTCTTTATCTTGAATGCAAACTGGAGTCTTTTTGTAATCTGGCGATTCTGACGGACAACCTGGCTCCGGCTCCGCGTTTGATTTGTTTTTTAATAATGTCTGTCATCTTATCAGCGGCCACCAACTCGTGCGGTAACGCGACCGATATCAATGACGTGATTGATCGGCTGTTAATTCGCCCGTGGTTTCCCCCTTTGTCCCGACGCCCGACGCGTCTTTCACAGTTTCACCATGTTAATGCCCGCCCGCCCGACCTATCTTCATTCCCAAGCCTCGAAGATAACTGGTCGTTACGGGCGCGATTTTCACGGCTAGATGGGGTCGCCTCGAGCGCCCGCGTGCGCGTCCTCACAAGCCTCATTCTTTTACCGACGATTGAACCGCGTTTAGCATAAAGGAACCAAACCGCATCCGCCATTACCAAATTTTATTGAAAAAAAAAAATGAAGAAAGACAAATTCCTCCTGAAAAGCGTTGCCTTCTGCAGGGTGTGATCTACAATTCCGGAAATAGTACTGATTTTTTTAAGGGCAGTCCGGAAGCAGGGCCGGATTAAGGGGGTGGCCACATGGGCCGCGGCCCATGGCGGCAAGTCGAAAGGGGGCGGCAAATTTTGCATTTTTTTAAAATGTAGGTACAAAAGAATTCGATTTAGAAAAAAAAAAAATTACAAACGAGAGAAGACGACAAAATCTCTCATTTCCTGAGAGTATAGTAATTTCTAATTTTGTCGTCTTTCAGTGATACAAGAGACAGCACCTTTAATTAGTTGAGTCAAGAGAGAAACCAAACTCGCAATTCGGCCTGGAACGGCGCGACTTAAACTCAGAAAGAAATGATGACGAGGACTTGAGATGAAAAGGAGAAGCCCTCGGCTCGGCGATCGGCATATGTAACACATATTAGCGCCTACAAGACTGCACGAATACTTCACGCATTGCATCAAACACAGTGCGGTCATTGCGGACAGCGTGAAACGGATAGCGCCTACAAGAATGCATGAATACTTCACGCATTGCGTCAAACACAGTCCGTTCAGCAGCGGTCGGCGTGAAACTCATAGCGCCTACAAAAGTGTTGGGATACTTCACGCATTGCGCCAAACACGGTGCGGTCTGCGCGGCTTGGCGGCGGAAGTTAAAATCATTAATCCACATTTATGTTTCTTCCCTCATAATTTTTTCGTTCATTTCTTATGAATGGAGGGCCTTGTCCACACCGCGATAGGTTTACGAAACTTAACTTTCGCGCAAAGTTCTTTGAACTTTTGCTAGTAGTGTTGACAGGGCTTTCCCAAAAAATGTGTTCAACACAAGTAAACGCGTCTTATGCACCCCTCCCCCGCTGACACGTTCATTTGATGGTTTTTATTGGTGCTTCAAAACGAACGAGAAGGGGGCGGCAAAATACAGGCGGCCCATGGGCGGCAAGTTGGTAAATCCGGCCCTGACCGCATACTGAAAAAGTGCGGAAATTTTGCAAGAAAGTCAGAAATAATGTCATATTTGTCGTAATTTGAGTGATAAATTCAAATTTTTGAAATTTTTCGAATTTCGTCAGTTGAAGGTATTGAAAAAGTATATTTTGCTGTCGGGGAGGTACTGAATTTCTTGGGAATGTACTGAAAAAGTACTGTAGAAAGACTGATTTTTGGCCAGTCTGTTGTCGTAGACACCCTGTACAATTTATACTTATTGTTAATGTGAAGAAATTAACATCATAAGTGACAGTGCAATTTCTGTTCAAAATGTTGCCGATATATTTGAGAGCACTCGTCGTCGGAAGAAAAACCTGTGACCTCTTCATTCCTACACGCTCGACGGTTTCCTGGTTCTTGTAAAATACAATTTTTGAGGAAAAACTTTGCACGCTCAGTGTGTAGAGACTCTTTCGTCTGGCAAATGACGAATTATTCAATTACACTGTTAAAAATCGATGATTTACTCCGAGTGAATAGATCAGAGCGTAAATATCACCAACGACGGACGAATTTTTTGAGCTCCCTCGATCAAGTAGCGTGAATTCAGCATTACCTACCAAAAATCATTGTCGGGTGGTAAAGTGGTAACGCACTCACCCTTCACCACCGCGACCGAAGTTCAAACCCATGCTGTGGCGGTTCCGTTTTACATTTGCCGGTCAAATTTTCACTCCGGCCAGAGTGCGAAATTCGCGCCGGATCCATGCACTCAGAATAACAGGTGGTCAAAATAGCAACTGAGTAAGCGTGAATTTCGCGCCGGGATTTTTAACAGTGAATTTTGTACGTGCGCCCTTCTTCATTTTTCCATTTTTAAGTACACAATTCTGGACCTGCAATTAATGGGATGAGAAGTTAACTAGTAAAACGCATGTTTCCTTTTTCGTAACCGTCCTCAGCGAGCCTTGCCGAGCATACAGCTTTTAGGTGCAAATCTTGGCACGGTGGTGTCCATGAGCTGATTAAGCTCTCGCCATACGGTTCTCACTGTGAAGCAACTGTTTCACCAGGGGTCCTGCTCCATGTCCCCCTTTCAAGTTTTATCCACCTCTCACCAATTTTGGTTTT